TGTAATTGGCTGGCAAGAAGAAATTGACAGTTAGTGGAATGTCTTTTTTCACTGACCACACAAGGCAAATATTCCCTAGTTATACTCCAGTTAGATCATTGTATAAATTTCTGGTCACACGATGCATGGCCGTTATTGTCTCATTTTCCTGGCCGGCAGTGTAACTGTGGATTATTTCCCTCTTGCCAGGAGAGTTGTACTATTTTGTTCCATTGATGTATCGGAATGTTCCTTATCAGTATTGCATGTGTGAATGTGAATCCCACTAATGGAAAATGGAGAAGAGGGTGTGGCCAGGACCAAGGCTCCGCCTCAAAGAAGCATGCCCACAATGCAGGGCTCAGTGCGAGGCGGTGGCAGGTACACCCAGCCTTTCCCAGTGGAGGAAGGGCTAGGATCAAGGTGCTGCCTCAAAGACGTATGCCCGCCCTATGGGTGGGTGGGTAATGCCTGGTCTTTGCCAGGAGAGGAATGGAGGGAAATGGAGAAGGAAGAGTGGCCAGGATCAAGGCACCACCTTGAAGAAGCATGCTTGACCTGTGAGGCTCAGTACAGGGGCAGCAGTGGGTACACCCAGTCTTTGCCAGCAGAGGGAAGGAAGGAGAGAGGGAGGGAGGGAGGCATGGGTTAGGGGTAGAGATGGGGTGTTCATATATGAATACGAATATCCCCCTGGGCTTAACAAGGGTCTGGCTCCTGGGGCCGGACCATCCACTCACATGTCCACTCACAGTCCTTCCAACTGCATGTTCATTTTTTTTTGGTTTGCATTGGAACAAAACACACACACACACACACACACAAACCAGCATGTGATACTCCTTTAATTTGTATTTAGACACACCTGTCACAAGTAAAAGGTGTGGGCAATATAGTAATCACACTTGCAACCAGTAAAGATGGATAAAAGTTGACTCAACCTTTGCGTTGTGTATGACATTGAGCATGGAGAAAAGAATGAAGTGTAAAGAGTTGTCTGTGAATTTGAGACAAAAAATTGTGGAAATACATCAATAATCTCAAGGATACAAGTCCTCTCCAGGTGCCCACTGTGTGAAATATCATCAAGAGGTTTACAGCCCATGGCACTGTAGCTAACCTCCCTGGATGTGGACGGAAGAGCAAAATTATCAAAAAATTACAACAAAGAGTTGTTTAAATGGTGGATACAGAAGCCAGATTAACTTCCCAACAAATTCAACCTGATCTGAAGACACAGGGTACAACAGTGTCAGCTTGCACTATCTATCACCATCTGAATGAAGATGGATGCTATGGTAGGAGACTCAGGAGGACACCACTGCTGACTCAAAGGCATAAAAAAGCAAGACTGGAGTATTCCAAAACCTATGTGACAAAACCACAATCCTTCTGGGAGAATGTACTGTGAACAGATGAGAGAAAAGTAGAGCTTTTTGGTCAAGGACATCATGGCACTATTTACAGAAAAAGAAATGAGGCATTCAAAGAAAAGAACACAGTTCCTACAGTTAAACATGGTGGAGGTTCAAAGATGTTTTGGGGTTGCTTTGCTGCTTCTGGCACTGGATGCCTTGACTGTGTGAACGGTATCATGAAATCTGATGATTACCAATGAATTTTGGTGCACAACATAATGGCCTGGGTCAGAAAGCTGTGTCTCCACCAGAGGTCATGGGTCTTCCAGCAGGACAATGACCCGAAACACACTTGAAAAAGCTCTCAGAAATAGTTACAAACAAAGTGCTGATTAGTTCTCAAATGGCCAGGAATGAGTCCAGATCTGAATCCCATAGAATACTTGTGGAGAGATCTCAAAACATCAGTTGGGAGAAGGCATCCTTTAAATCTGAAGGCCTTGGAGCAGTTTGCAAAAGAAGAGTGGTCTAAAATTCCAGTAGAGAGGTGTAAGAAACTCATTCACCGTTACAGGGAGCGATGGATTTCAGTTAAATTTTCCAGAGGGGGTGCTACAAAACATCTAGTTAAGGATGCCAATAATTTTGGGCAGTGCATTTTTGGGTTTCTGTGTGGGATTGTATCAGATTTGACTTTTCTTCTCTTTTTTTTAGTTGTTCCAATGCAAACCAAAGAAACGAACATATGATTACCAAAACATTTTCAACTGCAACAATTTTCTGAGAAAAGGGCTGCATTTTCTGACAGAACTGCAAGGGTGCCAATATTTTTGGCCATGACTGTAGATGCATACAGTGGTGCCCTGCTTGACGATTACCCCGCTTGACAACAAAATCGCTTAACAATGAGTTTTTTGCTATCGCTATAGCGATCGCAAAATGATGATTCAATTTTTTTTTTTTTTGCTTCACAACAATCAGTTCCCTGCTTTGGGAACCCATTTTTCGCTTAACGATGATCTAAAAACAGATGATTGGCGGTTCGCAAAATGGCTCTCCGCTGTTTTGCTGACCTATGCTTTACAGGCATTGTAAAATGGCCGCCCTATGGAGGATCTTTGCAGGACGATCAGGTATTTCCCCCATTGGAACATATTGACCAATTTTCAATGCATTCCAATGGGTTTTTTTTTTTTGCTTGATGACAATTTCGCTGTATAGCAATTTTGCTGGAATGCATTATCGTCGTCAAGCGGGTTACCACTGTATACTTTGAAAGAGAACAAGAAATTAGGCAAACCCTTCACACCAGGCTTTCCTAAAGTTTTTGTTATTAAGTCTGACAATAACTGGATGAATTATCTAGCTGCGATTTTTCTTTATAGTGTGCTGTTATCATCTACTATAAATATTAAGTTTTTAAAATGCATTGGGATTATTAGATTTTAGCAGGAATATTAACCAGTGCATATATTCTTCTGCTTACACATTTAGCAAAAATGCTATTCCTTTGCCATTCTTTCAGGAAAAAATATTAAAAATAATTTTATTTACTTTTATTAAATTATTTTAATGCAGAATTTAAAAAGTTTTCACCTAGTACTGAAAAATTGTTTAGTAATTGCTCCTAAGCTCATATATCACCCATCCAGTTCCTTTCATTGTTTTACAAAACATCTTGCTATTAGAATTTTTAAAAAGTGACATTTTATTTGTGTTTATTTCTGGAATACATAGTTTCTTTCCAAATTTTCCCAATGTATCTTCAATTTTCTGACGATATATCAGTCTTTTCATTACGTAGTAAAAACTGACAATTTCAGAAACTATTTTCTTGATGTCAATGTCAATCAATTAGCTTTTCTCTACATCCTATACATTTTAAAGATATGTCTATTTTGGAAAGTTCTCTTTCATCTGATCGCCTCATTGCAAATGTCATATCATGCCTCATTTTGCACAAGGGGGCTAATTTGCTCTAAAAAAAAAAGAAAAATACTTCATCTCTCAAAATAAAGGTACAATACTTCAAAAATATGCACAAAGTAAAAATGAGTGGCAAACCCTCCTGAAACGTATGTTACTATGCATAATGGCTGTGATAACCCATGTGTTCTTTGTCTTTAGGACAGTCTAATATGGCTTTTGCTGTGACATTATCAAGAGTTTCCACAAGCCTTAGCAGAATGCTGCTGCTTTTTTTAGGATACTTTTTTTCATAAACATTCCTGGTATGATTCACTCATGCTGCATATGTTTGAAATATTTATGATTTAAGTGAACTTTTTATTTAAGAATACTTGTTAAAGGATATACGCGAACTTGCCAATTACATACAAAATGTCCATTTCATTATGCGAACCTCCTTTGTGTAGTGCAAGGGATGTGGTGGCGTTGTGGGCTAAACCGCAGAAGCCTGTGCTGCAGGGTCAGAAGACCAAGCAGTCGTAAGATCGAATCCACGCGACGGAGTGAGCTCCGATCTCTTGTCCCAGCTCCCGCCAACCTAGCGGTTCGAAAGCATGCAAAATGCAAGTAGATAAATAGGGACCACTTTGGTGGGAAGGTAACAGCGTTCCGTGTCTAAGTCGCACTGGCCATGTGACCACGGAAGATTGCCTTAGGAAAAAACGCTGGCTCTATGGCTTGGAGATAGGGATGAACACCGCCCCCTAGAGTTGAACACAACTGGACAAAAATTGTCAAGGGGAACCTTTACCTTTACCTTTAATTTTGGTTCACTAAATTGACAACATTTCTGTTGATTTCATGAAAAGGAAACAAAAAGAGAGGGGAATAAAATAAAAAGTTCAGAATTTTTGATATTTAGTAATCTATTATCAGAGTAACACTGATTTCAGCAGGACCATAGAGGTTTTCCTAAGTATTTATTAACTAAAGTATCCCACTTCAGTTCATCTATAAATAATTAGGATAATGTGCATTGCCTGTCTGTACTATGGAGCTCACAAAAGGACATTTATTTTCAAAATAATAAAAATTGAGAATCACTGTTGTTCTTTTTCAATGAAGAAGAAATGAAAACACTGACAGCAAAGTCTGTGCAAATGAAATAAAGTTAATTTTATATAGCTTTTGGAATATGACTGAAAAGTAGAATAGCATGGAAGATAAAGAAATAGAGGTTTTTAATAAAATGACATTGGCAGAATAATTAAAAAGTATCTATGTCTTATCTATATGTAAACAATATGACTTCCTACTGAAAGTGTACACACAGTCTGAATTTTGTTTTTTTGGATTATAGTTTACCCCTTGAGTGGAATATTTGATGTGACTAGGGACAGCTAAAAATGCTTTTTTTCCAGATTGTGCTGAAATTATAATAAACATCTTTGTCCTGTTAGTGCACATGTGTGCACACACATACACATGCTTCTGATTCAACAAGCAAATCTGTGTATGGAAGCTGGAAGCTACTCTCATTTCTCCCTCTCTTGACTGACTCATAATTTTATGGAATCAAAAGGTTTTAAACTTGAGAGGAAGCCCCCCCCTCCTCGTGTGAGATGAAGAAACTGTAAATACTTGAGATATTCTACACATTAGAGAACACGTATCCACAAGAATTACAAAAATATCACCTATGATGTGCCAGCCTTTTCAATGGCTAAAGGAAAAAAAAACTCTGCTAGGCCTTACCAGTATGACTTCTCTTGTGAACCATAAGAACATTGGGACCGATGCAAATTATCCCACAGACATCACACTTTAGTTTTCCGTTAGGGAGTCGAATGCCTCCAACTCCTGACATGGCTTTGCTGCCATTGTGTGAGCCATTCATTTTTTCTCGAGAGGCATCAAGCATTCGTAAATCCTCTGCACATTCTTCCCCATTCATTTCACAGGCACGCCCATTCTCTTCATCACTTTGTGTCTCTATTTTAATATTACTGGCTGAAAGAAACAATAGAAGGATGCCACTCAGTGGTTTTAAACAATCCAAAACATTGTGGCAATTTTTTTTAAAAAAATGAACACATAGGAAAGCATTTTCCAGCAGAATTTACAGTACACTTGAGTGTCAAATGACTATTTTACTTACATTTCTGTCCATGCAATGCAATTCTTTCAAGTGCAAGTACGCAATATTATTACAAGGATATCAATCAACCAGTTTTATGATAATAATAATAGATTAGCTACTAAAAGGATAGGAAAGATGGATGTGATTGGCAGTTCAAGAAAAAAACTAAGATACATAGATACAGAAAAGGGTCTGTAACTATACTGCAGGTTAAACATCTGATGTTAACTTTATCAGTGACAAAATTCAACTAAACTGCTTCCCTTCAGAACATGGCAGCATGCAAAATTTTGCCACCTTTAAGGCTTTGTTGAAGAATCTGAAAGGAGATGGGAACTAAAATTTATCAGAGCTGCTTTGAATTTTTTTTTAAAAAAACTGGGTTATCATATAGTGACTGAATATCCTTGTATTGCGGGCAATACACACATATTCAAATGTTTAAACTATGCCTGATTGGTAAGGGCAGGCATGAGGGAATATGCGGGTATTTCCCTTCTGGAAGGGCTGATGGTGAGGTTTTATAATGGTCAGGAGTATAGATTACTTGGTATTTAAGAAATTCTAACGCATACAGAGAGCTTGCCAGGATAAGAGGTTTTGAACATGATTCCCAACTGCTGGGCAACAATGAACTTGAGCTCTGTTGCCTTGGAAGGCTGTATGTGAAATTCATTGTTTAATTATATCTGACGGTACTAGAAATGCTAAATGTAATAGAGCTTGAGAGAGGCATGAGCCCATAATAAGCTTAAGCTTATTCACATGTGGATCTTTATAAGTTTTGTATCATTATTAGGTAAAGGTTCCCTCATAAGTTTTGTATCATTATTAGGTAAAGGTAAAGTTTCCCTCTGACATTTTTTTTGGTCCAGTCGTGTCTGACTCTAGGGGGCGGTGCTCATCCCGTTTTTCAAGCCATAGAGCCAGCGCTTGTCTGAAGACAGTTTCCGTTGTCACGTGGCCAGCATGACTAGGGAACGCCATTTTTAGTAAGTCTCAAATTAATATTAGCTGCAAAACTGTGAGGGTGGCAGGTACCTGGCAGGCTTTAACGTTTCTTTAATGCACAGCCAGTATAGCTTCTCAGTAATGTGACAGGATTTTAAAAAGCATATGCATCTTGACCCATCACAGCTCATCTACCATGAATTGTGGCCTGCCAAGAGCTTGATACAGCCTAGCCTGTTTCAGTAGTTCAGGGCAGACAACAAAATCGTAATGTCAATGGAACCACACATAACTGAAGATTCAGCAAGGGGTGGGGTGTCAAAGGCTGTGGAGATCTGGCATAACAGGACTGATTCCAAAATGGTGTTTTGGGGTTTTTGGTCCTTCTGTCCCTTTCTCTTTTCAGTGCACAAGCAATTGTGAAGACTTTAATTGTGCACACAGAAAAGGTGTTACAAGTCAAAAGTCATAAATGGAAATGTTTTATGTCACAAATTTGAATACACTAGAAGTAAAGCATTTTGTTACATACAATATAATAACTGCTTCTGAGAGGTGATTATTATCTTTATGCACATGCATTACGGATGTGGAAATTCACAGAATGAACAGGATAAATGATTTGCAGTCAGTTACAATAACTACATCAGGCAAAACCAATCTACATGGTCAGGAGAAGCATGTGGTTCAACTCTTGTTGGGCAAATGCACTTCAGAGACGAGGCCTCATTGAACACGTATTGGAATGATCTTACTTTTTGAACAAAAGAAACGATGCTAGTCCCTTTCTTTCTGACATGCTAACTAACTTTCTACGTTCAGAACCTTTTTTCTTTTTAATTATCAGAAAAAAACTTGATATTCTGTATTTGCAAGGCACAAGCTATGTCATACTGTTCTGCTGTCGGTTGTTATTCCTTCTACAACACTATTGTGGCTTCCAAACTGAAATAAAATGTTTTTTTTTCACATCTAATATTTTAATACAATATCCATGTGAAAGTATTTGCAAAAGATCTACAAGGTTTATACATAAATGTGCATGTATGCACACACAAACATTGTACAGGCACTTTTTTGTGATTACAATGTGAAGGTTAAAAATAAGAATATGATGTGGGGAGTGATGAAACGTGTGACATAAGAATGACCTTATAGCGATTACAGAACAAATTCCTCCCCTCCTGTTTAACAGTGGATAAAGTTATATCCTCTCTGTTCTTCTCGTCATGTTTGAGAGACCCCAAACACACTCTCCCTGAAATTCCACTATTCATATCGTGATAGAAAAGGAAGCAAACATTTTATGGTTCATTTGTTATCCTACCTCTCTCTCTCAGGAACAAGAAGGAATTTGAGAAGGAAAAAAGCCTATAGGTTCTGTGACCCCTGATGTATATCATTTTATCAAGGCCAGAGAAACTTAAAAAACAGAAACAAAAATCAAAATTTGAAATATATGTTGAAATATAAACATGAAAGTAAATTGTATTTTTTTCTTTTTTAAATATCTGATCAGACTTTGGATGGGGTGTGGGCTCTGGCTTAGAGAAGCCTATAGGTTCTGTGACCCCTGATGTATATCATTTTATCAAGGCCAGAGAAACTTAAAAAACAGAAACAAAAATCAAAATTTGAAATATATGTTGAAATATAAACATGAAAGTAAATTGTATTTTTTTCTTTTTTAAATATCTGATCAGACTTTGGATGGGGTGTGGGCTCTGGCTTAGAGCATATACTCTTTTCCAACAACACAAGAGGCGACTCTACATATGGACATCACCAGATGGGCAATACCGAAATCAGATTGATTATATTCTCTGCAGCCAAAGATGGAGAAGCTGTATACAGTCAGCAAAAACAAGACCTGGAGCTGATTGTGGCTCTGAACATCAGCTTCTCATAGCAAAATTCAAGCTTAAACTGAAGAAAGTAGGAAAAATCACTGGGCTAGTCAGGTACAGTGGGGTCTTGACTTAAGAACGGCCCGAGTTAAGAACATTTTGACTTACAAACCACTCTCATAGGAAAATATTGACTTGACTTACATACAGTACTTAGATTTGAGTTACAAACTGAAAAAAACCTACGTGGGAGGCAGGGAAAGTGCAAAAATTTGAACTTTCAGTTAACTGTTGGCCAATGAAAAGGGTGCCTGTCTGCTTCCTCACTCCTCCCAGCGTTTAGAGAGTGGATTGGGAGACAGTCTTCAGACTGCCTGGTACTGTACTGCCTTGACTGTATTTTCCCTGCCTTCGTCTGTTACAGACATTTCATGAACAACATGTGTTTATTAGAGGGAAGTATAGGTTTCCAGTGTGTTAAGATTTGTTTGTCAGTGATTCATCAGAATTCTGAGGCTAACAGCACCCAACATTTTGTGGTTATGCCTCAATTTAACTCAGATTTGTACATACAAACTAGAACCCTGGTGGTCTGCAAGGATGAGCCACTGATGCAGAAGGTATTCATGGACCAACCTGTTTCAGGAGCTCGTAATTAGAAAAATGATGGGGTGGGGGGGAGAATGCCCATTCAAGAGTGCACACAAGAGTGCCTTTGTGTTATTCTGTAGCTTCTAATAATATGCTGAAACACAACATATTTTAGAATCATTATCAGGGATCCATGGATACAAATACCATGATTTGATTAGAAAGACTGAGGTCTAATGGAGAAAATAAGCATTTCTAATCTACTGCAGAATTTCATGTCAGCTGTGGTATAAAGTTGTTGCATGTATGTGATTCTCCATTTATTTCATAAGAGTGAGAGAACCTTGAAACTATTTCCTCCATTAAAAATTGTATGGAAGCTTCTACAGGTGTGGAGAACCTCACGTGCATATGTAAGCTTGGACCAAAGGGATCTGATTTGTTTTTCATTTTCTTTTTTTAAAATATGAGAGGGAGATTTCCTCCAACAGAAAGGGGAAGGTGGTTGCTACAGGCTATGGAGGGCCAGCAATTACAAACTGCACTGTCTCCTGCTGGGAATGGAGCTGCTGCTACTCTGAAGAGCCTTGTTCTGTGGAACCAGCCAAATGCCAAGTGCCTAGCTCTGAATGGTCCTCAGTGCCAGGCACAACGGACAAGTTCCCTTTAAAATGTTGCCCAGACTTATCAGCAAAGTTCTACTACTTGCTCTTACTAATCTACATGTACTGTATGAAGACTGGACTCACCACAATAAAGCAAAGGTTTGGGATATGTTTTTCCTCCCACCTCATTCTCTGAAATGTTCACCTCATTCTCTGAAATTTATTTATTTTGAAATCTCATATGAAATGAAATTTTCAGGCAACTCTCTGCATGGGTAACTTGTATACATTTATATGTATTCGATAATACATTTATATACTGTTTGTCCTTCATTATAATATTTTTGCCTTCTCAGTTGCTAAGTCCACAATATGCTGGTACTCCTCTACCTCCAAGGATCTGCACATGTAATATCTACAAGGTGGAATCAGTACAGTACGGATTGCTTATTGGAATTTGCCAATCAATTAGTTTTTCTCTCTTAAAGGTAAAGGTTCACTTTCACAATTTTTGTCCAGTCGTGTTCGACTCTAGGGGGCGGTGCTCATCCCTATTTCCAAGCCATAGAGCCAGTGTTTTTGTCCGAAGACAATCTTCCGTGGTCACATGGCCAGCGTGACTTAGACACAGAACGCTGTTACCTTCCCACCAAAGTGGTCCCTATTGATCTACTCGCATTTGCATGCTTTCAAACCGCTAGGTTGGCGGGAGCTGGGACAAGCGACGGGCGCTCACTCCATCGCGTGGATTCGATCTTACGACTGCTTGGTCTTCTGACCCTGCAGCACAGGCATCTGCGGTTTAGCCCGCAGCACCACCACATCCCCTTTCTCTCTCACCATCCACTAATTTGCTTCTTTTTATCCCTAATTTCTGCTACTGGCCCAGAATCCTGGAATATCTCCAGCAGTAGCTAAGTTTCTACCAGTAGCAATGAAAGTTAGAAGCCAAATATCTGGCGATGCAGCTGTCTCTGTGACTATCCCAGATAAGTGCAATAATGTACTGGATGAATGTGAAGAAGCTGAGGCACAATCCAGAAAACAAGATGGAAGTAATTCTGGCTAGTGCTTTCGCCACTTGAGTTATGCCAATTCTGGAAGACCTAGAACATGAAAGATCTGGGACACCATCTTAAGAAACTGGTGTAAGTCTCTATCAGCCTTGACTAATATGCCAGACAGACATGACCACACCTGGATGGAAATGGCTTGACTGGTAATGGTAATCTTCCATTTGGACTATCCCTATGTGTTGTAACATGAGACTGCCTTTTCAAATACCCTGGGAACTGCAGGTAGTCCAAAATTAGGCAACCAAATTACTAAAATTAGAATTTTAAAACAATGCTACCATTTGTCATTGACACTGATTGGTTCAAAATTGGGAAAGGAGTACGGCAAGGCTGTATATTGTCCCCCTGCTTATTTAACTTATATGCAGAATACATCATGCAAAAAGCCAGACTGGAGGAATCCCAAACCGGAATTAAGATTGCCGGAAGAAATATCAACAACCTCCGATATGCAGATGATACCACTCTGAGGGCAGAAAGTGAGGACTTAAAGAACCTCTTAATGAGGGTGAAAGAGGAGAGCGCAAAAAATGGTCTGAAGCTCAACATCAAAAAAACTAAGATCATGGCCACTGGTCCCATCACCTCCTGGCAAATAGAAGGGGAAGATATGGAGGCAGTGATTGATTTTACTTTCTTGGGCTCCATGATCACTGCAGATGGTGACAGCAGCCACAAAATTAAAAGAAACCTGCTTCTTGGGAGGAAAGTGATGACAAACCTCGACAGCATCTTAAAAAGCAGAGACATCACCTTTCCCTTTCTAACTCTACCCAGCCAGGTGCAGTCCTCCAGGAAGGCACCACAGGCTGGGGGTCGGCCCCTAATCCTGTCATTGTGGCTTGTTCTCAGCCTCTGGCTTGCTCTGAACATGGAGCATCCCTCTTGGCAGAGCTGGGCAGATTTACTTCTCCAGATTACACCTCCTGGCTCTGCCCTCTGTGTTTAGGCTTTGTTTCTCAAAAAAACCTAACCTATCCATTTTGAGTGTTCACTGGAAGGACAGATCCTGAAGCGGAGGCTCCAATACTTTGGCCATCTCATGAGAAGACTCCCTGGAAAATACCCTGATGTTAGGAAAAGGGCAAGAGGTCAGACATGACTAAAGGACTAAACAACAAGTGAAATCAATTGTACGGGTAAATCACAACAATCTAAACTTCAGTCTAACACATCCATTTGGAAGGGAACAAAAATATTTGCTCATTGCTCTAATTTACCATCTTCTTTAATTTCCAGATGAAGACTAAGATGTAGGTGAGAATAAACACCATTCAATGCTATAAAACTTTCTTTTGAAGAAGCATGTACAGAACTGTTCTTTACTGATCCTAGATTAATCCAACTCTGTAGTAAATTTTAAAATAGCATCACTCTGATTTGGGAAAAAGGCACTTTTTTAAAAAAAGGACAACAGCTACCATCTACATAATCACACTAATCCGTGCTTAATCTTAGTGGGGAACTAATTCCTTCACATACACATACACACTGATCACACACACACACACATTCAGGTTCAAATTTACTGAAGCAGTATGGGAAGCCACTACCGCTGTTTAAGAAATAGTTTGAATGCATTGAATGCATTTATTTAATTTCATTTATTAAATGTAATTGCCTTTCTTCCTTCAAACTGAAAATGGGAGACAAAAATCTCCAACTAGCTGATCAGATACAGACCTGCTTAGTTTAAACACAGTTGCCTTGGGAATGGGTTAAGCTAGTTAAAAAGAAAAGTGGAGAAGAGTCTCAACTATGCACAAGCATCTGGGAACACTGTATTTCATAGCTGAACCAATTTTCTTCTTAATTGTTTATTCTAAAATCAAAATAAGAAATTAAAAAAATCAACAACCTGTCAACCAAGGAACCAAAAAAACTTCTTTGATTGCATTAAGCTAAGAAACCTAGATGAGGACACTTAGGCCACAATCCAGTCACAGCTAAGCATTTCCATATTGGACTGGAAGAAAATGAAACATTTCTTACATTCATCCCCGTGGGAAGTAAAAGTACTTAATCATAATTGTGCATGGTTCTGTGAATTCATGTTGCTAACTATCTATAGGCATTGATTGTTCATAATTGATGGTTTCGTTGTATGAGAATATTTCCAGACACTCATGAGCCAACACTACTAGAGAGTTTTCTGTTTGGACAGATGTACCCACATGTGACACTAAACATATATGCAAGTTGCCAAAAGAACAATAGGAGGTGAAATAAATACAAGCCCATTCAAGTACAACAAGTACAAGAAAACACAAACAAATAAAAACACACGAGTGACAGAAATCAGAAGTACATACAAGATGGACAAGCTTGGTCATATACCAGTGACACATGTACCATATACTTACGAGAAAATGATTTGGGGATTATGGCGTGAAAATCCCTAAAGCCTTCAGCCCCATATGCAGCTGTAATAAAGAAGGCAAACAGGACAATAGGTTGTAAGGTGTCCAGCAGCACAAGTCAACAAACAGTAAAAGACACTGTTTCAATGAAAGACACAAGCACCCTACACAGAGAGATGAAATACAGAAGAAAATGTACAGTAGACAAGCAAGCCCTTTGTATCAAAGCAATCCTTGGTGCATGCAGACTCTGTACAAGAACACCATTTCAGGTTTCAGTAAGAATGCAGGCAAGGAATCTCATGGGGCTTGAATTCCTTGTCTAGGTCTCTCTCCAGGCAGCTTCTATATTTCACAATGAGGAATTTAGCAAGAATTCTTTCCTTTCCAATTGTTTTTTGTTTTAATGTGGGAAATCTTTTCGCCAGAGTTTGAAAACTCTGCTTGAGAGTATTTAATTTAAAAACAAAGAACAACAAAATTCTTTTGGGGGTCACATGACAATAAGGGTATAGGTACGTTATTTTAAAGGACAGAAATGTGCTTTTAGCATGCACACTCGCCTGCTATGAGGTGAAGAGACCTGACCCTGTAGCACCAGCCTGCCAGCCCTCCAACCTCCAGCCACTCATTCTGCATGAATATCAGGTGAAAGCTGCATTGAAGGCCGTGAATCCTAACAAAGCCACAAGTCCAGATGGAGTGCTGGGGAAAGTGATAAAAACCTGCTCTGACCAACTCACAAGGGTCCTAACAAGGATTTTCAACATCTCCCTGCAAACAGCCAGTGTACTACCATGTTTGAAAATAGCCACCATCATCCCGGTTCCAAAGAAAATGGCCATAAATGGCCTGAACGATTATAGACTCATCACATTGACATCTGTAGTGATGAAGTGCTTTGAGAAACTGGTTCTCCAACACCTCAGGTCATGCCTTCCATCAAATTTTGACGAATACCAATTCGCCTACAGAGGAAACAGGTCAGCAGGCGATGCCATAGCCATGGTCCTACACACGGCATTGAGACACCTGGAGACACCTAGGAACTATGTCAGCATGCTTTTCATAGACTATAGCTCGGCCTTCAACACCATTCTGCCAGGCATTCTCTTTGAGTAGCTGACTGATTTAAATTTTCCTTCCCTCAACTGAGACTGGATTAGAGGCTTCCTGACAGACTGCCCACAAACAATAAAGGCTGGGTCCTTTACATCCTTCTCCCTGAAGCTCAGCACAGGCTCCCCTCAGGGCTGTGTGCTTAGTCCCTACCTGTACTCGCTGTACATATATGACTGCCTACCTTCAGACCCATCTAGCATGATAATAAAGTTTGCAGACAATACCACTGTGCTGGGTCTTATCACAGGTGGGGATGAAACAGTGTACAAGAGAGAAATCCTGAAGCTAGCTACATGGTGCTTAGAAAACAATCAGCACCTAAATACCAGCAAGACTAAGGAGATAGTGTTGGACTTCTGGAAACAGAGATAGGAACCACCACCCCTCTATATCAAGGGGGGCAGTGTGGAAAGGGTTTCCTCCTTCAAATTTCTGGGAGTGCACCTCAACCAGGATCTCACCTGGAAAAGTAACACACTCCAGGTGGTCAAGAAGGTCCAACAGACTCCATTTCCTAAGAGTCTTATGGAAAAGTCTTATGGGCTGTCAGACTTCTAAATGTCACATAATACCATGACTAGACTTAATATAACAGACTTACAGTGCCAGTGTAACATGCAATATGTACATACCGGTGGAATAATATATACATGCATATTTGTGTGTGTGTGTGTGTGTGTGTGTGTGTGTGTGTGTGTGTGTAAAGGTGATTTGTTTATAAGGTTGGAGATGTATTCTGGATGTATGTATTCTGTGTTTTGTGCTTTGTGTGGTTGTACCAGTGGAGGCTCATTCAATTTGACTGCACACATGTTGTGCATTGACAATAAAGGTTATTATTAAACCCATTTAAACATGCATAACTAGCACTCAGCACTTACAGCCAGTGCAGGAGCAATACAGTACATAGAATGCATTTATTTATTTATCCCACCTTTCTCCTTAAAAAGGACCCAAGGAGGCATGTCTACCATACAAACGTAGATCACTTTAATTGCAGTTTAACTGGGATTTCCCACCTGTTACAAAGAGTAGTTTCATAGTGGTACAAAGAATTATCCGCCTGATGCCTTATTCTCCACAGTTGCCAGGAAATATCAAGAGAGGGGAAAAAGACTATAGATATGCAGATAAGTTTCCAGACTAGAGACTCTGCATATGCAAGGAGCTTGTTTTAAAGGATAACAACAAAATTCTGGTTAATCTTCCTACCATTTCCCCCCCTACAAGTTAAAGAACCAACCAGCTTTCTCATTTTAATTCCTCTTCTGCCTTGGGAGTTAGACTTCCAAGTAAATGATTTCTGCAAAGCCGTCTCCCATAGATAAGTTATCTCCTGCTGAACAACCAGGGAAACGTGCCCCACCCACTGCCAGAACTTGGTGGTTCCTTTCTCAGTACATGTTTGGAAACCTTAACCACACAAGACAAACTACCTGGAAGATAGAAAAGGGCCTTTTACTTGATTGGGCTGGAAGAGCTGAAATTATAATCACAGTCTTCCAACACCTAAATTCTGATGTCAATGACAAATTCAGAGTAAGCAGTTAATATTATGCGAAAACAATGTAGACAAACAGCAGGAACACAATCCATTTAGATTTTCTCCTCCACAAAATGGATTAGAGTTGTACAGGAGCAATTTTAGTCTTCTGTGTAGCTTATTTCAATGGAGCTAGATGTAAGAAATCCTGTTGGCTTGCACCTTGGGCTTGGCATGAAATTCTTCAGCAGTTCACACTATGGTAAATATGTGCGTGTGTGCACAGACATGCATGCATATTTCCTGCACCCCACACTCAGAGATGACTGGCTTATGGGACTGACCAGTTTAGGTTTGTCATATTGACATCATCTTTCCATTGGCATCGTTTAATCAAAATAAGATGACAAAACAAAGAGATTCATAAGGAGGTACTCGAATAAGACCCCAAAAGCATATATTTTTTTTTAAAAAAGCAATCATTTCAAGAAGCTTAAACATCTACTAAGACTTATGTACATTCAGTGAACCCAAATTTGCAATATAGAATGTATTCAATTGACCCTACTGCAATTGGCTTATGACATCCTACCTATGGGATGAGACCATGTATCCCTGTCTCAATGAATAGATACATCAGTGGATCCAGATGACCATCATGTGGCAATCCCATCCCTGCGTCCTTCTTAGTCCCATCATCTCCACTCAGCTCAAGAAAGGAGTGTAGCGGAAGTTGCTATCCCTATATTGCAGTCCTTTGGATCACATCCTTATGTGAGAAGAAAGCTGAGGTAGCTGTGGTGGTGGTGAATCTGTTTTCATGATGCTCTCTGCACAATTCCATCCTACAGATAACTAATGTGTGGCCTACCTTGCTCTTTTGCGTTACTTCATTTTATACTTCCTTCCCACTTGTTGTAGAAATCATGCAGGCAGCAGCTGACTACTAATAAAACATATGAATTCTGAATATTTGTTTTAGTAAATCTAAATTTGTGTGGAAAGATATTTCTAGAGTGAGCAATGAAACTCTGGGAGCTAAAAAAGTTGTTCTGAGGTGAAAGGTGAAGAACCCTTAAGTTCTCCAGGGAACTGGAACAATATAGCTGAGGCAGCACATTGCAGCTTCCCCCTGTCTGGTTTGACAGGAAACCTCCATCGACTGTTCCTCTCCAGTTCCATCCACAGACACAACAGTTCTGGGCATGTGACTGCTTTCTCCAATTCCCCACATTTCCCTCCTTTTCCTAATCTTTCTTACCAGCATGAATACAAGAACTTAAAAAACTGCAGCAGGTATATTGTTTGCAAAATGGACTTCTATACTAGCAAAAAAAGAGAGAAAGACTATCTCCTCTTCCCAGAATGTTCTTCAGCTGTTTTCTGCAGATGGAAACAAAAAGCAGCAGAATGTTCTCATGGATAAGCACTCCAGTTTCCAGGAGAAATAACATGCTGGGTGCTTCCTCACATGTCTCCTGGTTAAGACAGCCCTAGCTCTTTCAAATAGCACCTAAAGAGCTGCCTTGGAGGGTCTCTTCTTCATGGGTAGAACTGTCCAGTGGAAATAGTAATGTCCAAGCACCTTAGGCTTTGACTTGCTCTACAGGTTACTGGAAATGTTCTACAGAGAGGAGGATGAACTTTGGGCTGAGATGGGCGGATCAACTCAACGCACTTTCAGCTGTCTGCTCCTATCTACTGACTTAAGCACTGGGAAAGGCAGGGGAAATGATATGGAGCTATCCGAGCTGAAAACAACCAAGCACACTGACTTAGAGATACTGTACTAGACATGGGGATCTCTCAAGTCTTCTGGCAAGGCCTGAGAATAAAAGGTTAGGCTTCATTTTCCAGCTTCCCTGGTTGCTGAAGTTCCTACTCATGCCCAGTAAGCTTTTGCAGTAGATTGTGCTCTTTCTTTATGCAGCATTTTACTCAGTAGCAGCCGCTGCCAGAGATGTTGGAAGCCAACTTATCTCTCACTTTGCTGCTCATAATGTAACTGAGTTTCCACATCCTCCTCATGCAGTTGAAAAAAAATCTATGTGGTGAGGAGGAAGCTGCAAATAATGAAATATAGGGATGCAGGAAAAAGAGGAAGCAGCAGGCAGCCGAAAGCCCAACTGAAAAGTAAAGAGTTATGGAGAAGTGACAGAAAGGGAAGCTCAGGCCAGGAATTGTACTTGGTGGCTTAGCTGAGAAGGAAAACAACCACCAAGCCAGCAGAAAAATCATGCCTCCTCTGCTTTGAATCAAGACTTCCATGTTACAATGTACTTTAACTACAAGGTCCTGTACAAAAGTTCTGGATATCAGTACAATCCTTCCCTACCCCACTTATATCTTAGCATTATGTATTTCAACCCTAGGAACATGTCCCATTTTCTTAGATCCTGCCATGCTTAGGTTGCCTTCTCAGGAGAAAGGCAGCCTATCAAACAAACAAACTTTTGAA